AGTCCTGGGTGTTCATTGGAAGGACTGACGTTGAAGCTGAAACTCCAATACTCTGGCCACCTGATGCAAAGAGCTAATTCATTTGAAAAGACCCTGATGCTGGGAAAGATTGAGAGCAGGAGGAGAAGGGGACGACAGGATGAGATGGTTGGATGGCATCACGGACACAATGGACATGGGTTTGGGTAAACTCCGGGAGTTGGTGATGGACAGGGAGGTCTGGCGTGCTGCGATTCATGGGGTCGCAAAGAGTCAGACACGACTGAGCAACTGAACTGAACTGAATTCTAGCACATCCTCTTTGCTGGTCCTGGGATGTCACATGGGTTTTAAATCCCATCTCTCCCTCTGCAGTATGAAGTGAATGCTGCCCCTTCTGCCCCCCTGGTGGTTACTGTAATTGTGGACATGCTTTGTAAGTGAGAAGGCTGTATGCAAACAGAAAGTGCACAGATCCATTCTTACAGTGGAAGTAGCCTTTATTTCTGTCTACCGTGAACATGACTTCTGTGCTTCAGAACAGGCGGATGTGTTTGCCTTTGATCTCAGCTGCCAGATGGCGTTACTTGTAACTATTTGACCTTTTCCCTTCTCTACTCTGGCAGGTCCGAGCTGCAGTCTTGGGCTGAGGCACTGGGCTTCAGTGCCGCCAGGAAGTGACCGGTCTCTGTGGAGCACAGAGATGACAGGGCCAGTGGGGGCTGTGGAACCGGTGGCCTGAAAGAGGGTGACTGTCCCACATGCCTGGCCTGGTGGCAAAAGCCTTTGCTTCCTGAATGATCGGACCCCAGCCTGGCCCTGCTGTGAGCTCATTGACCCCTGTGTGTTTCTGATGCAGATTTATGTGCACTTGAAGGAAGGCGGTGGCCCCGATGGGCTGGATGCACTGAAGAACAAGCCCCAGCTCCACAGCATGGTGGCCAGGAGCCTGTGCCGGAACGCGGCCGGGAAGAACTACATCATCTTCACCGGGCCCAGCATCACCAGCCTGACCCTGTTTGAAGAGTTTGAAAAGCAAGGTTTGTCAAGTGGGGACTGGCTTGAATGAGGCCCCTCCCCCTGGAGAAGTGCGGAGGTGGGGCTGGGGGTACGGGTGTGTTGCTGGCAGCACGGCCCCCAGAATACCTGATGAGGAGGCCTGAGCCTGAGGGCCTGGGGCCTGCCCGCCCTGCTGGGCCCCGGAGATGGGGCCGGAGACCTGTCTCAAGCTTGTGGTCTCGGGGACAGGTCAGTACAGGCTTTCTGGTGTCCTTTGTGATGGGGCCAGGCCATCCAAGGAGTTTTGCTAGCGTTTTATGGGCTGCTATAGCAAAGTGCTACAGAGTGGGTGTCTCATGGACAACAAGGATTTATTGCTCACGATCGCAGAGGTTGGATGTCCAGAATGGGGTGCCAGCATAGCCAGATGAGGCTGCAGACTTCTCCCTGTGTCCTCACGTGGGGAAAGGAGTGAGGGAGCTCTGTGGGGCCTCCTTTACAAGGGCACCAATTCCATCCATGAGGGCTCCACCCTCCTGACCTAACCACCTCCTGAAGGCCCACTTCCAGATACCATCTCTTCACCTCAGGCATTAGGTTTTCGATGTAGGAATTGGGAGTGGGGCACAAATATTAAATCCACAGCATCAAGGCACAGCTTCTCCTAAGGCTCTTAGGGAGTCTGAACTCCCCATTCTGCGAGCTGTAATGTCACCCCTTCCAGTTAGAGAATTGTGTGGATTAATGCAGGCAGCTGCACAGTGGGCCTCAGAAAGGTGTTAGCTCCCCTCAGTGCTAAGATGCCTGGTTCATTTGTTGAAAAGATTGAGCAAGCCTTCCATGGCTCTGGAAGAATTGGGGCTATAGAAGCAGACCCTGGCTGAGTCAGGGAGCCCCGTAGCAGGCTGCCTCTGTCTTCACTTGGTCCTGCATTTGGGATTTATATTCCGTCCACTCAGCAGAAACCTAGAACGCCCCCCACTCAGTTCCTCCAGACACTGAAATTGCAGACCTGTTGCTTAGCAACAGATCTGATGTCTGACCTTAAAACCAAACCCTCTCAAGTAATGGGGAGCCCACAGCTACCGACCCGTGGCCTCAGCAACTGTGATGAAGCAGCCCCTGGGCCCTTTGCTTCTGCCAGCCTGCGCTGTACCTCACTACTCTGGTTCCAGCAGGGCTCAGGGTTTAATTGTTGAGAGACCATGTGAAGCAGGGCCGTGGAAGTCAGGTTGGAGAAAACTGGCCCTAATGCTCATGAACCCAGCGCCATGGGTCCCCATGTGAGCATGCTGAGCACCAGGGCTGCACGTCCACTGGCCTGCTCGGCTCCCAGTGAGGGTGTCACGGGCATGGCGTGAAACCCCCAGGGTCCCCAGAACAGCCCTAACAGTTTGCGTGGGCCCTGCAGGCCTGATGCTGCCTCATACCACCTCGTCACCTGGACCGAGGGTCACGTGGTGTTGTTAGGACGCCCTCATAGCGTGGGCCTGGTGGGTACAGAGTGAGGACACCAAAGGCTTCCCTGAGAGCTGGGCCACTGGGAAGAAGAGGGCCCTCTCCGCTCAGGGAACTAGAGGATGGAGGAGAATCTTTTAGAGGAAAAAATAATTAGACATGGAATTTGAGTTTTTCCAAGAGCAGAGATTTCATTCCCTGTTAGAAGCATCTGAGGCTGTGGGCCCTCCCTTATCACCTCCCGGGCTTCCCCTGCAGTGCCTGACGTGCGGGGAGGTAGTCTCCACGTTGCCCATGGATGGCTGTGCCCACCCTCAGGGACTCTGCATTCTCTGGTCTGGTGACCCCAGGAAATTCTGATGGGCAGCCAGGGTTGAAGTTATAGCCGAGAACCTGGCTGTGCCTGCTGGGCGCATGGAGACTGCTTTGTAACAATACTCACATGAGAATCGCTATTTTCATAAATAAACTTGTGCAGTGCTAGAGTCTCTTCTTCTGCTGTTAGAAAAATGCAGCTGCTCTTTGGGTGGTTGTGTTCATCAAGCCCAGTGGGCGATTTTAAATGTTATCCTCATTCATCTAAATTCTTTTCTTGTTTTGAAGACAGATTCTTGTTTGTAAATCTTGGAGTCTGGGTATTTGGATCCATAGTGGTGGGAGCCATGGGGAGCCCTCTTCTGTTGGACAGCGAGACTGGGTGTGTCCCCCAAGGGTCTGACCGAGGCAGTGGAAGGACAGGAGATCATCAGAGTCCTTCCACCATGGAAGGTGACCAGGAATTCATGCCCATCACATCGGGGAGACCGTTCCCCAGTCTCCAGTCAGAATGCCCCTTCATGTCTCCTTTGGGCATGGGGAGAAGTAGGCTTCCCCGTGGCTCCCCAGGGGGACCCATGAGCAGTGAGGACTGGGACAGACCTCGAGTCCTGGAAGAATTTGGAGAAGCCTCCATATTTCAGTTGGTCTCTGCTTGCAGGGCTCCTGCTGCAGGCAGCATTCTAGGCTTCAGAGGCCCTGCTCAAGCTCTTCCACCAGAAAACTCCGCCACTCACCACCCCCACAAAGCACGTGTCATGGATGACTTTCCCTCTGCCCTTCACTTGGCTGAACGTAGGCAGAGCTTCCCGAAGTGCCCTGCAGATGGCGAGTGTTGGTGAGAGGGGTAGGGTACATAGCTGGTTTGGGCTTAATGATGCCCGTCTCTGCCCGCCCAACCAAGAGCCTGAAGTTCCTGTGCGTCACGTGAGCTCAGAAGTTCTGGAAGCAGGTGGGAGGATGGGTCCACAAGTTCAGCCCTGTACTGGCGGGTCGCAAGCCCTCTGGCCGTGAGCACTGCTGCCTTACTGCCGATGCTCTGCCTGCGTTAGGTCTTCCGTGTGATCTTAGATACATACAGAAGTGTGGGGGAGGCAGCACATCTGGGATGAAAGCTCCCAAACTTCCCATCACCCCTGGGGAAGCGGGGGAGCCGCCCTGAGGCTGTGCGGTCCCTGTCCCCGCAGGGATCTACTGCTGTGGCCTGCTCAGCTCCAGGAAGAGTGACTGCACCGGCCTGCCACCGTCCATGCTAAGCAGCCCAGCCACACCACCTGCCCGGGGCCAGCACAGCATCCGGGTGAAGGGGAGCATGTCCCTGATCTGCTGGTACAACAAGGGCCACTTCCGCTTCCTGACCAACGCCTACTCGCCCGTGCAGCAAGGTGGGCACGCTGAGGGCCCGGGTGGGGCTCCGGGGGCTGGACCTGACCCCTGGCCCTCCTGCACCCACAGGCTGTCAGCACTCTGGGACTTGTTACATCAGGAAAAGCTGTGAGGCTGGCCTTTGCAGGTGACCTGAGCAGTTCCACCCATGGGTCCCTAGGTCATATATAGTGTGATAATTGGCTCTGTTGAACAGCATTTACATAATTGCTTCATCATTTAGGATTCTGTGAAAAATCTAGTCTCATAGGAGGAGGAAAAAGTCAACCATTCTTATCTTTTCAGTTTGTATTTAAGGGAACCCACAGCTCAAACATTATTAAATAGCAGAAAAGGAAATTGCAATGACAAAGGGACCCCTTACAAAAGTATTTACAGCTTCCCTGGTGGCGCAGAGACTCCACCTGCATTGCAGGAGACCTGGGTTCAGAAAATCCCCTGGAGAAGGGAGCAGCTACGCACTCCAGTATTCTGACCTGGAGAATTCCATGCTCAGAGGAGCAGACCGCGAGGTTGCAAAGTGTCAGACACGCTGAGTGCCTTTCACTTCCAGTGTCCTCGAAAAGTCGCTTGGGTTCCTTTGCATGAAGACATCTTTGTCTTTACTCTTGGGCTTCCCAGGTGCGGCTAGTGGTGAAGAACCCACCTGCCAATGCAGGCTGAGATGCCTGAACCTGAGGCGTTAAGAGATGCCAGTTGGATCGGTGGGTCAGAAAGATCCCCTGGAGAAGGGAATGGCAACCCACTCCAGTATTCTTGCCTGGAGAATCCCATGGACAGAGGAGCCTGGTGGGCTACAGTCCATAGGGTTGCACAGATTCGGACACAACTGAGGCGACTTAGCACGGCAGTCTTTACTATTAAAGGAACACTGCCAAGGAACTCAGGGGTGTGCGTGTAGTGTGTGCATTGCTGTGCATGTATGCATGTGTGTGGTATGTGTGTATATGTCGTGTGTGTGGTATTTAGCATCTCTTGTTCATTTATCCCCATACCTCACCTCCACACACACCTCGTGTAACATTTCAGTGCAGGTTACAATCAAGGCACATGGGTGTTGTTACCCCACTCAGTGGTGTGGGGGTGGGGGTGGCGAAAGCTGCCCCCATCAGGTGCTGTATCAAGGGCACATAGAGAGAGGTTTGGAATTGCCCTTGTCAGCTGAAGGCCGGATTGCACTGGACTTCTGCTCTTTTGGCTTGGGCCTCGGGACAGGACCAGAGGATCTCTTGGAAGGTATCTCCTGGAAGTACCTTGGAAGGTGTGGGTCTGGGGTGTTGGAGTTGCTTCCTACCAAATTATTTTAAGTGATGGCCTCTGAGAAGATGTCCCAAAGCAGGAGATTGCCCATGTCTGAACTGGTGCAATGAGGTGGCTGAGAAAAGACTGCCTCTGGGAACATTAGGGAAAAGCCTGCAATAGGGTCGAAAACCCTGGTCTCAAGGACCAAGGCCCTTTAATCAGACACCAAGGGAAGGAGGCAGGAGGCTGGTAAGGGGCAAAGACAGTAAAATTGGGAGGGTTGGTTTTTAAATGAGCTGAAACTAGTATTCGTGTTCAATTCAGTGATACTTTCCTTTTTTTTTTCATTTATTTTGATTAGTTGGAGGCTAATTACTTTACAATATTGTAGTGGTTTTTGCCATACATTGACATGAATCAGCCATGGATTTACATGTGTTCCCCATCCCGATCCCCCCTCCCGCCTCCCTCCCCATCCCATCCCTCTGGGTCTTCCCAGTGCACCAGCCCTGAGCACTTGTCTCATGCATCCAACCTGGGCTGGTGATCTGTTTCACCCTTGATAGTATACTTGTTTCAATGCTGTTCTCTCTGAACATCCCACCCTCGCCTTCTTCCACAGAGTCTAAAAGTCTGTTCTGTACATCTGTGTCTCTTTTTCTGTTTTTCATATAGGGTTAGCATTACCACCTTTTTAAATTCCATATATATGCATTAGTACACTGTATTGGTGTTTATCTTTCTGGCTTACTTCACTCTGTATAATGGGCTCCAGTTTCATCCATCTCATTAGAACTGATTCAAATGAATTCTTTTCAATGGCTGAGTAATATTCCATTGTGTATATGTACAACAGCTTCCTTATCCATTCATACTTTCCTTTTCTAAAGTGTGCACTCTGTTATTAATCATGAAGTGTCAAATCCTAGAAACTCCTAAAAGCCTCGAGGGGTGTGTCCGCAACCTGGCCCACCTCCAAGCCCCTGAGCCCTCCCTGCCCCGTCAGGGCCTGCGGACACTGTGAGCCCATCTGGGAGAGGCCGAGGGGCTCTGGTGTTGGCATGCTCCCCACTTGGAGTGCTTTTCCTGGTTCCATCCAAGGGCCTTGCTGCTTAATGGAGATAGTTCTGGTGTGATTGTCCTTCTGCTGTGCTTCAAAAACATGATTTTTTAAAACTACCTAATATTTCATCCTTAGATTGTGTCATAATTCTTTATCTTGCTCCCTATTATCATTTTTTTCACAATATGAAGAGTGACATAGTGAAGATTTTCATAGATAAATCTTCAGGTACATCTTTGGTCGCTTCCTCAGGATAAATCTAAAAGGTAAACGGTTGCACCGAAGGGTCTGAGTGGTTTTAAGACTCTGATGCTGTGCTGCCAAGAGGCTGTACTTATTATCACTGCAGTGGGTTACAAGAGGCTGGGATTTCTCCTGCTATACCAACACTGTATTTGTTTTCTATTCTAAATTTGTCAGTAAGATGGCTGAAAATGCTATAAAACTTTAACTATAAATTGCCATGACTGTTGGTGAGGTTGAACATCTCTTCATGTGTTTATTAGCTGATTTTCGATGATTTTGTCATGTTCTTTTAAATTTTTCATTTGAAGTACTTGTCTTAGGAACTTAACATTTTATGAAAGATTTTATGCCTATAGCAGGTATTTTTATGCATTTGTTTTCCTTTTGCTTTTATTTATAGTCAGTATTTTTAACATACAAAGGGTTTTCATTTCCACATAGGCACAGCTGTTGAGGGGCTTCCTAGGTGGCACTAGTGGTAAAGAACTTGCTTACCAATATGGGAGACATAAGAGACTGGAGTTCAATCTCTGAGTTGGGAAGACCCGTGGAGGAGGACGTGGCAAGCCACTCCAATTTTTGCCAGGAAAATCCCATGGACAGAGGAACCTGGCAGGCTACAGTCCATAAGGTCACACAGAATATCAGACTTAGCAGGCATGCACTGCTGTTATCACGTTATTTGTTCTCATGCTTAAAAAAACCCCTGCTCTGTCCCAAGGCCAGGTAAGTAAATAGTTCACCTGGTTGTTTTATAATGTGGTTTTGTGCTCTTTGCACTTGGAATTTATTTTGGTACGTGGCATCAGTCAGGGTACTACTGTTTTTTTTATAAGTGGCAAAGATTGGTTGACCAAGCAGCCCCACCTCTGTTCCCGAACCATTGATCAAATAATTATTTTTCCCCTACTTATTTTAAATATCACCCAGATGACAGAGTCTCCTATGTTCTAAAGACTGCTTGCCAGCTTTATACTGTCTTCTATTATGAACATATATGTTCTTCTAGAAGGTGAGCAGAATTTCCAATTTCAGAAAACATGTAACTACTTATGAACATTTTGTTGTTGTTTAGTCACTCAGTCGAGTTTGAATCTTTGTGACCCCATGGACTGCAGCATGCCAGGCTTATCTGTCCTTCACCATCTCCCTGAGTTTGCTCAAACTCAAGTCCATTGAGTCAGCGTTGACATCCAACCATCTCATCCTCTGTCGTCGCCTTCTCCTGCCTTCAATCTTTCCCAGCATCACTGTCTTTTCTAATGAGTCAGCTCTTTGTATCAGGTGGCCAAAGTATTGTAGTTTCAGCTTCAGCATTAGTCCTTCCAATGAATATTCAGGGTTGATTTCCTTTAGGACGGACTGATTGGATCTCCATGCAGTTCAAGGGNGGTCTTGTTTTTGCTGACTGTATAGAGCTTCTCCATCTTTGGCTGCAAAGAATATAATCAACCTGATTTCGGTGTTGACCATCTGGTGATGTCCATGTGTAGAGTCTTCTCTTGTGTTGTTGGAAGAGGGTGTTTGCTATGACCATGTGTTCTCTTGGCAAAACTCTATTAGCCTTTGCCCTGCTTCATTTTGTACTCCAAGGCCAAACTTGCCTGTTACTCCAGGTGTCTCTTGACTTCCTACTTGCATCCCAGTCCCCTATAATGAAAAGGGCATATTTTTTTGGTGTTAGTTCTAGAAGGTCTTCATGAAACTGTTCAGCTTCTTCAGCGTTAGTGGTTGGAACATAGACTTGGATTACTGTGATATTGAATGGTTTGCCTTGGAAACAAATAGAAGTCAATCTGTCGTTTTTGAGATTGCATCCAACCAAGTACTGTATTTCAGAGTCTTGTTGACTAGGAGGGCTACTCCATTTCTTCTAAGGGATTCTTGCCCACAGTAGTAGATATAATGGTCCTCTGAATTATATTCACACATTTGGGTCCATTTTAGTTCTCTGATTCTTAAAATGTGGATGTTCACTCTTGCCATCTCCTGTTTGACCACTTCCAATTTACCTTTTCTCGTGGACCTAACATTCCAGGTTCCTATGCCGTATTGTTCTTCCCAGCATCGGACTTCACTGTCATCATCAGACACACCCCACTGGGCGTTGTCTCCACTTTGGCTCAGCCTCTTCTTTCCTTCTGGAACTATTTTTCTGTTCTTCTCCAGTAGCATATTGGCCACCTGCCAACCTGGGGAGTTCATTTTTCAGTGTCACAGCTTTTTGCCTTTTCATACTGAACATTTTAGGGATTGATTTAGTATTCTTTACTCCAGATTCTAAGGGAGAATGAGCCCTCTTTCAGAAAGTATGAGCCCTGTCGTTGTTCAGTTACTCAATTGTGTCCAATTCATTGCAACCCCGTGGACTGCAGCACGCCTTCACCATCTCCTTCACCATCTCCCTGAGCTTGCTCAAACTCAAGTCCATTGAGTCAGTCATGCCATCCAACCCTCTTGTCCCCTGTCGTCCTCTTCTCCTCCTGCCTTCAGTCTTTCCCAGCATCAAGGTCTTTTCTAATGATTTGGCTCTTCGTATCAGGTGGTCAAAGTATTGGAGCTTCAGCATCAGTCCTTCCAGCGAATATTCAGGACTGATCTCCTTTAGGATGGACTAGTTGGATTCTCCTTGCAGTCCAAAGGACTCTCTAGAGTCTTCTCCAGCACCACAGTTCAAAAGCATCAATTCTTTGGCACTCAGTCTTCAGTGTGAGGGTATGCAGGCTCTTTAAGTTACATGCTGTCGTTTACCCAGGGTCATCCCCATGAAGAACCAAATCCTTTTTGAGTCTTCCATCTCCCTCTTTGCTCTTAGAGTTCATAGTCCATGAAGCTGATGCGGGTGTGGAATGTCTGTATATCAGACATCGGGTCTGTGTGTCAGGTCCTGACTCATTCGTTCAGACTTACAGAAGGGCAGAAAGGATGTCAGCCCAGCCAGAAAAAACCTGTAGGAGGCAGAGAGACAAACCCCTGCAATAGGAAGACAGGTAGTTCTCTCATAGGCCCACGTGAACCTGCAGTGTCACAGAGGTTGATTCTTAGAATATAGATGTGCAGAGGGTCACACCCAGCGACAGACATACAAGGGTGCACGCTGGGAGAACACATCATCCCTGGTTATGACGTCAGCTGAGACGATAAATATCACATAGCCTCTTGTCAGTATTCCCAGTGTCTGAAGCTTTCCAGTCCTCAGAAAAGGATATTAATAGAACAGCAGGCTCACCCTTTTCATCTCAAGCAGTATGTGAAATCTAAGGTATCACCAGGGAGGAGGCTGGGCTGGTAATAACCCTGGAGAAATGCTCCAAGAGACTGGCAGAAACCTGGATTTTGAAGCCAGTCTCCTATTTCCTGCTGTAATCCTCATTTAAGTTCAACAGTGTGAAGGGATAGGGAGGAGCCTTCTTCCCCTGAGAGGAGGGGAGCAGGCCTCCCACACCTGGGCGAGGGCAGCCGGTGGGGACTGCAGGGCCCTGGCCAGCACCATGCCTGCATCCCTGGAGAGTGGGCCCAGCACGCAGGGGCCCTGCTGCCTCAGAGCGAGGCGTCCCCTGCCTCTGGGGGGAGAGAAGGGAGGGGATTTTACCAGACAGTCCGACCTGATCACACCCACATGGATCTGGGAAGCCCTAGGGGGCCTCTTTAGTCCCAGAGGAGGCTGTAGTTGAACGTCAGGAAATTTAAATAGAGCCCGCAATGGGAAGCCTCCCCAGATGGGAAGCCTCCCCAGGCCGTGCACCCAGGCCAGGTGTGAGGTGGCGGTGTTTGCTCAGTTGTGTTTGGGGTTGGGTGGTGAGCAGAGGCCCCAGGGCAGGTCCCCACAGGAAGGGTGTTGTAGAGAGACCACCCTCCATGGAGGCGGAGAGCCCAGCCTTGGAGGACCACGTGTGCTGCGGCATCCGACAGCAAAATCTATGTAGAGAGGCTCTCTCTGGATCTGGGGCCCAGGAGCCTCTGACCGGGAGGAGGCCCTGGACGGACACTGTGGTCCTTTGAGCTCTTGAGGCTTTAGAAAGCGTGTTGCCTGGGTGCTGACCCAGTGTCCCCACACCTCCAGACCTGGCTTCTCATTCTCTCATAAGATCCTCAGGCACTTCGTCAGTGTAGAAAGTCAGTATTTGGGGAGCAGGGATGGGAGACAAACTATCCTGGTTTAGGACTGAGTCTCAGCAAATGGACCTGTGTGACTCTCGTCTCCCGCCCGTTCCTCAGTGGGGAGGGGGTGACGAGCCATTTTTGCTTCAACTACTGGAGAAGGGAAGGCTACCCACTCCAGTATTCTGGCCTAGAGAATTCCATGGACTGTATAGTCCATTGGTTTGCAAAGAGTCAGGCACGACTGAGCGCCTTTCACTACTACTTTCACTACATATTTAAGCAGTGCTAAAATTGCACAGCCCTGTGAACTAATCCCTGAAAACAGTGGCGCGCTTCTCCATCACATGCTGCTGCAGGGGAGGCTGCTCAGAGGAAATGCTGTATAATGCCCCCCACACTTGACCGTCCTTCCAGCCTGCACATCGCCTTTGGGGGTGCAGTGGACAGCCCCCAAGTCAGGGCAGGTCTCGGAAGACAGGCAGCAGGCTGGAGAGGCCTGACTGACCTCTCTCTGCTCCTCGCTCCTGGTTGGTGGGATGTTTCACTCTTGCCGTGACTTTGGTCATGGCCCTGGACTCAGTTTCATTTATATTAAGGAGGATACGGTGTTTGAAGGCATGTGAGAGAGTGCGTTTGAGGATCAGTGAAGGGTAAAGGATTCTGTCCACAGGGGAGGCGTGTAGGAGCCAGGGGTCAGGCAGCTCCTGGTTCTTCTGAACCCTGCCTTGAGCAGAGCGGGTGGACCAGCTCCCTGGCCCCGTGATGGCGGTGGCCACCTCCTCGCACCGCTCTCAGACCTGGCAGAAGGAGGCCTGGGGAAGGGAGGAGGGGCCGGTGAGTTCTGACCTCAGCTTTGCTCTCCGGGCCCCATCGGCTACAGCCCTACTCCACTCACACCTGCCTTTGCGCCATCGTCTGCCGCGGGCCCCACCCTGGTCTGTGCTGTGGCCCCATGTGCTTCGCTCACCTGACCTTGTTTTCCTCGGCTCCCCTGAAGCTTCAGTGATGTTGCTGACAGTGGTTTTTCCCATCTCCTCCCCTGCTGTCTGTTGTGACAAGCAGGCAGGATGGACAAGCACGTGATCTGAATGGGGGTCTGCAGGGGAGGCTCAGAGGGGACGTCCCGCCTGTCTTGCAGGAGTGATCATCAAGAGGAGGAGTGGGGAGATCCCCTGCCCCCTGGCCGTGGAGGCCTTCGCGGCCCACCTCAGCTACATCTGCAAGTACGACGACAAGTACAGCAAGTAAGTGAGCCGGCGCCGAGAGCGGGGGGCTGTCGGACGGTCCGCTGCCCTTCTCAGAGCTGGCAGGTGAAGACCCTGAGAGAGAAGATCCTGAGCCCGCAGCCTGGCGTCCCCGGGGCCCAGCCACGCGGCCACCCCTGCCGCCCACCGCCTGGCCGCCCGCACTGCAATCCTGTCTGTTCCCCTTCTTCCGCGTCCGCCCTCGGGCCCGACCCCGCCCGCTGTTGTCCCTGAGGCCTTGCCCGGCGTCCCCTCCGCAGACCACGGGGCGTCCCCTCCGCAGACCACGGGGCGCGGCCCTCATGTCACTGGGCGGAGCCGAGGTTACACAGCCGTTTCATGTGTGAGTGTGGGCTCAGGCACGGTGTCATCATGAGTGCACACATGGTGTGGACCACACGCATGTGCGTGTACGTGTACATGCCCCAGTGCTGTCTCCAGGCAGCTCCCGTGCCTACGTCAGGAGCTGGTGAACCTTGGCCTGTTAACTACTGGGCCTGAACCTCACAATCTAAAACAGGGTGAGACTGACCCAGAGGGCGGTGAGCATCTTCTCAGCCCTCCTTGAGGGTCACTGACGTCTCCCCAGGCTGCTTGGTGGGGGGGCAGGGCAGGACCCGAGCCTTCTGGAAAAGCCCGGCTGTAGAGGGCGCCCCAGTCCCTTAGAGTGACCGCACTGTCTTCCTGGAGCGCTGGCCTGCCTGGCGGCTCACTGGCCCTGGTGGTGCTCACAGGGCAAGCTGTGTGATGGAGCAGACATCGCGCTTCAGTGGTGCTGAGGTTGCCGACCCTCCAGCACCCGGCATTTGGGGTGCAGAGACACACACACATGCAGAGGACAATGGCACAGGGGTGGGTCCTGAGGCGGGGCTCCCCGGGGCTCACAGCTGTCCTCCGTCTGGGGGAGGTGGGGTGGTGAAGGGAAGAGCGAGGAGCTGTGTGTGGTCGTGGCAGGAGGGGCTCGGGACACGCTGCGCTCGTGCAGGGAGGCCTGCAGCCCTGCGTCCTCCCAGCTCCAGCCGCACCACACAGGCCTGGCTCCTGGTTTCAGTGGCCCCTGCGGTGACCCGCCTCCTCCCACCTGATCCTTTCCTAGGGACTGTTTTCATCTTGAGTAAAGTTCACGTGCCTGAGCCTCAGTGAGAGCTGCCTCCCCCGTCCCCAGCCTGATTCCCACCCCCACACTCCCGACAGCACCTGCCGAGCCCGACGAGGCCTTTGGGAATCTCTCTTGCTCGGGGCACCTCGGCACCATCTGAGTCAGCCCTTCTTACCCTTCTGTCCTCTTAGGTATTTCATTTCTCATAAACCGAACAAGACCTGGCAACAGGTATTCTGGTTTGCCGTCAGCATCGCGGTCAATAATGCCTACATTCTGTACAAGATGTCGGATGCCTATCACGTGAAGAGGTACAGCCGGGCCCAGTTCGGTGAGAGACTCGTGCAAGAGCTGCTGGGCCTGGAGGAAACCTCCCCAGGCCTCTGATGTCCCGGGCGTGGCCCGGGCTAGGTAAGGACCAGGTCCAGGGAGGGACGGGGGAGCCTGATGTCTGACCTGCCGGCCAGAGACCCGGAGATGCCCTGTGTGTGGCCGCGGTCCAGGCAGGGTGCTCAGGGCCTCTGGAGGGGCCAGGACGGACCTGGTCAGAGGGTGGTGCATCCGGTTTCCACACAGCGAAGAGCACGGCTTCCCTCCGGAGATTGGCCACCACCTTGGAGTGAGCACCTTGCAGGTGTGGCCCTGAGCCAGACCTTCTGTGCCACCAGCGGAGGGCAGGGCACCCTCACAATCCCCCTGGAGGCCATGGGGAGCCTGTTCAGCACAGGGGACCTGGGAGGGCTGCTTCCATCATGGGCGCCAGGGATGGAATGAGCTGGTGAAGACAAAAGATGTCCACGATGTGGTTCAGGTCATGCAGTGTCTGAAGGCGATGGGAAGGGAGCCAGCTGGGATTGTTTCGGGGTATGTAGGAGCCCAGAGCGTTTTCCAGTGTCTGCCTCAAGTGGGCAGCTCAGAACGGGGCTCATAGCAGAAGAAACACTAGCCTGGCATCACTGCAAGGAAGTGTTGGCTTGGGCAGTGGGGCCACTCTGATGTGTGCATGAGGTGCTCCTGCCTGTCCCAGAGGGGCTGGTGTGTGGGGAGAAAGATGGGACAAAATGGCAGTGAAGTGTGACTCTGTTTTTTATTTTTAGATATATCTTCAGGTTATTTTCTTACTGTTGCTCAAGATCTTCTGTAAAAGGAAATGTCCCTCTTCTGTCCTCACCCTCTCACCCCACCCTGCCGTGGCTCCTTGCATGATCACGGGCCTGGGCCTGAACCTGGGCCAGAAAGGGTACTTTGTGTCCATCAGACGATGGGGGCCTGTGGGCCTTGAGCTTTGCACAGATGCCGTCACTGGCAAAATTACTTGTTTTGGAAAATACGCAGCACGGCTGAGACCAGATTGTCTCTGGGTGACCACCCGCTCTCTCCCTCGTGTGATCACTGGGCAGTGCTGGCCGGCCTCACTGCACGCCTCGTGATGGTGTGGCGGGCATTGGCAGACCCACCTGTACAGCGTGGCTGGGTGTGACTCCCAGGGCCTGGGGTCTGCTCACCACCAGCCTGAAAGGCCCACATGATGAGCAGCTGGCAGCAAGGGCTCTACTTACTTCTCAGAACACCTGGGCCTTCTCTGAACCAAGGTTCACGCGTCTCCCTGGGAGACCGCCGCTAGGGTGGTCGGCTGGTCTGGCTGTCCCCACAGATAAGAAACAAGTAATTTCTGAAGTTACGTGATCTCCCTTCAACCCAATTTATGTCGCCCCCTTATTTTTACAAATGCAAACCTACTCTACTCAGGCTTCGGGATGTTCTTCCTTGTCACGCAGTTCATTGCGAGTGTTGCTGGCAGCATGCTCCAGATCGCATCGTATCTGTACCCAGTTCACGGCGGTCACCTCGCCCTGTGGTTTTAATTCCATGCCACGGATTGTAGGCCAAATTTTAAATTGTGTTTCCAAACACCTTTGCCATGTCCTTTAATTGGATTGAAAGCACTTTTACCACATGGAGAAATCTATTTTTAATTTGTGATGCTTTTCTACAAGGTCCACTATTTCTGAGTTTAATGCGTTTCCAACACTTAGGGAGACTCTAATGGAAGCTGATGAATTTTCTTTTCTGTCCAAGTAAGTAAAAGAAAAAATAAAAGTCTATTTAGATGTTGACTCTTTGTTCATATGTGAGTTTGTTTAAAAGGTCAAGGACAAAACTCCAGGCCACTCTTGTGAGTCTTGATTCCTTGTTATGATCCAGTATGTATGATCCCGCCACTCGAGTATCATGAACCAACGAGCAGCTTAGAAGAAAACTCCAGTTGCCCATTGATGGGTAGAAATGCATGTGATGCCCTGTCCTGTGACTGCTCAGTTGTATTGACAGGTGCCTCTGCCATTAAACACATCATGCCTGCCTCCACCACTCTCTGTCCTCTGCTAGGCCATGTGTCATTCTGATTCAACACCAGAGGTGCTGCCGTGACCAATAGTGGGTGACTTCACATCGCCAAGAAATTATAGAGTAATCACTCCGTATTAGTGCTCTGGTTTTAAGATGGTGGCCACCTGGCTTCTGATAAATGATTGAGAGACCAGCAGTGTAGCTGGGTTTCTGGTGGAGCCTGTGGCGATAGCACCAGCTCACAGGTTCAGAGGGATTTCTCTTCTTTTCTAGGAGGACAAAAGGCTAGGCAGCACTGACTGGGAAAGCCTGCAGGGACCTGGACTCACCCATGATGGAGTGTGGGGTGACTGGTCAGAAGTCCCCAGACCCCATACCTCCCTGGGTCTGAAGGCTGGCAGGCCCACACTGGACATGCTCACTGGGAAGCTGGCCATTGTTCTTGACCAGGAAGGGGCCCAGCCAGAGGTTCTCAGGGCAGAGGCTGGGAGGTAGGTGGCCCCCTGCATTCTGTGGCAGACCAGTCCTGTGGGAGGTCTTTGCTTCAGGGTCTAGAAAGGAAGGGTGGACAGTGAGCTCCCAACGCTGTTGGAAACACGAGCAGGCCTTCTAAGCTTCTCCAAAGAACATCTCACCACTGAATGCAAGGTAACCTGTTGGGCTCCATACATGGTCTCTGGTGTGTCACATGATCTCAGCTGTCTTTGGAAGTCGGTAAGGTAATTCTTGGGCTTCCCTGGTGGCTCAGAGGTGAAAAATCCGCTTGCACTGCAGGAGACTGCCTGCAGTGCAGGAGACTCGGGTTCAATCCCCGAATCGGGAGGATCCCCTGGAGGAGGCAGTGGCATCCCACTCCAGTACTCTTGCCTGTAGAATCCCATGGACAGAGGGGCCTGACAGGCTATAGTCCATGGGGTCACAAGAGTCGGACACTACCAAGCAACTGAACCACCAACACCACCAGGCTCATTCTTAGGAGAATCTAATTAGGATGATTTTCTGTTTGGATTTGGTACCTTCTTTAGCAGGGTCTGTATTTGTGTTTTCTCCCCACATTCTGTGTCCCCCCCAAAGCCTCAATTTTGAACAGTATTTTACTTTGGTCATTGGGACATTACATGAGTATTTCAAAACTCAGGTGAGTGACATAGAAACTTGGCATCTGGACCATTCTGGGCAAAGATATCCAGTTTATTGACTGCATTAGACAAGACCTGGCCACCAAAAACAGATTCACTCTGCAGCTGTGGCCGAGAAAAGATTGCAGATGGACGGGGAGGACCTGGGTGCGTGGCTGGCACCGCCGTCACCCTGAGGAACCCTCCTTCAGCATCGGCATTGAGAGGGCCCCTGATGAGGGGGTGAGGCAGGCTCGCCACCACCAGGCAGAGACGCCCCTCCAGCTGTGGTGAAGGGAAAAGGCACCCCCCACAGCAGGCCCTGAGGTGGAGGAGAACAGCTCAGTGACAGGCTGAGGGGAGGGGGTAGGAAGGGTTCACCGACCTGTGCCCCAGTTCTTCACCCAGGCGCCCCACGGGGTGGGCCTGGACACCTGCGTCCCCAGCTTGCAGGTAGGCGTTGGCAAGGGGGACATTTACTGCTTGCCCAGGTGAGCGGGTGGACCTGATGCTGAGACCGTGGTCTAAACTGCTGCACAGACTGTTCCCCGGGTTCACCAGCCGGGCTGGTGGCTTTAGCCCCAGTTTATGTAATGCCTTTATAGGGCATTTTCTCCTGTCTGAGGCTTTATAGACAGGTGAGAGCAAACGTCTCTTCTGATCTGAAGTATTGCAGATGCTCAAGGTGCACACCCTCCCTACATCATTCTCTCAGGTGCGTTCCTTTCTTGCCCTGGATCCAGGTGGGAGTTTTTGGCTGAAGGCCTGATGCAGCTCAGGTTGACCTGGTGGTGAGCTGAGGTCTGGGCAGTGGTCGGCCAGAAAAGGGCCCTTGGCTGCAGCCAGTCCTGTGCTGAGCCAGCTGCCCTCTAACCAGGTGGCACAAGGGGAGGTGAAGGAGAGGGGGTGACCCTGGAGCCTCTGCCCAGGTGCCTGCCAGCCATCCTGTGGGCCAGGGGCTGGGGTGGAGGGCAGGTCTGCAGAGCTTCATGATCCCTCTCCCCAGGTGCCTGCCAGCCGTCGTGTGGGCCAGGGGCTGGGGTGGAGGGCAGGTCTGCAGAGCGTCATGATCCCTCTCCCCAGGTGCTGGCTGCCCACTCGCCTGCTTGTGTCTGTGTNTGGGCCAGGGGCTGGGGTGGAGGGCAGGTCTGCAGAGCTTCATGATCCCTCTCCCCAGGTGCCTGCCAGCCGTCGTGTGGGCCAGGGGCTGGGGTGGAGGGCAGGTCTGCAGAGCGTCATGATCCCTCTCCCCAGGTGCTGGCTGCCCACTCGCCTGCTTGTGTCTGTGTCTTGTCCTGTCCCACGATGGGCAAAGGCTCATCAGCAGTCTTGGGTGTAGAAAGCCAAGGGCTCCAAAGGGAAAGGGGACACAGGAAAGGAAACAGAGTTCCCAGAAGTGCCTCAGCCCTGCCCAAGGGGCTCCCCAGCCCACTCTGGAAGACAGCTGTGCGGAATGTGGTTCTGTACCCTTGACTGTCGCCCTAGACACCTTCTTTATTAGGAAGACAGCTGAGACTCCATTACCTAAGCCTTTATTCCATGTGGCGCCTCTGTGTGGCTCATTTTTAAAAGGATTTTTAAAGCTCCTTTCTGAGTCTGTCCTTCTCTCCCATTAAGAAGTACAGGAGGGTATCAGTAGCAGGGGGCACTTGGAGCGTTGCTCGAGGACGTGAGCAGGAAGTGAAGATGGGTCCCATGTGTTGGGCCTGGGTCTTTCCCCCTGCCCAGAGCACACCCCTTTTCTCCACTGTCCTGGCCCTCCCGGCTGTGGCCACTGCTGGAAACGCTGCCGGTGGGAGTGAAGAGCATTCCTGCACCTGCACACAGCCATGATGGGTCTCCTGAAAGGAGAGGAGACGCTTGGCTGTGTCTCTTCTGCTTCATCAGCTACTGTGCTGCAGATGTAGGACTTTTTCCTACCTTACTTGGAAGCTTGCCCTTTTGTGTCCATATTTGGAGATGAAGGCTGAGGTGGAGGAGAGGCCCCTGAACTCGGGACTGTGAGGGGAAGGAGGAGATGGGGTGGGCGCTGGGCTCGTGTGCAGGTGTGAGGGCTTCGGTGTCATCAGGTGGAGCGTGCCGCGGCAGAGGGTGAAGGGTGACTGGAGCACACCTGAGACACCGCGTCTCCAGCTGGAGGACAAGGTGGAGAACCCCCCCACTCGAGCTCTCTCTTTAATCTGTTGTTCATGAGACACCGCGTCTGCAGCTGGAGGATCATGAGGTGGAGCACCTCCCCACTCGAGCTCTCTCTTTAATCTGTTGTTCATGAGACACTGCATCTCCAGCTGGAGGACCACGAGGTGGAGCACCTCCCCGCTCGAGCTCTCTCTTTAATCTGCTGTTCATTCTTTTACACACTCCTCGGACACAGCTATATCAGAGCCAAACTGTGACCCACAGTAATGAGGACTACAGCCAGGCCTGGCTCTCGGCTCTGCCAGCGCCTCCCTGTACTCCTCAGGACTGCCTGTGAGCCGGGACCGGCACTGCCCCTTCTCCTTGAGTGGGGAAAATGATGCTTCACTCCCGTGGGGACTCCAAGGGGTGGACCTCAGTCACTCCCACCACCGCCCCCACTGTGGGCGGCTCAGTCTTCCGGCAGGGACGGTGCCAAGAGCCACACACCCAGCTAGCAAACCGCGTGATCTGGGTGCACATGTGTGGGCTCCACCCAAAGGGGGTCTCCATGAGGGGCAAGCCCCAAGTGGTGGGGGTGCTGTCGGCACTGCTGCTGGGGCACAGTCCACCCTCTCCAAATCGTGCGGCACTTCGCCTGCCCACACACCCCCAGAGAGATGGGATCTGAGCCTCAGGGGGCTGGGACGGGACTGCCTCTGACCAGGACCAGCTGGTTTCCATGTAACTGTCTTTGGAGACCATGGCAGCATGTAGAGCAACAGAGCAGGAAGTGGTCTCAGCTACTCGAGAGGCGCAGGGGAAGTTTCCCGTCTCACCCATACTCATATTCCGTTGTGACACCTCCTTTCACTCCCCCAGAAGCTTGTAGCTGGTTCTGTTTTCCCCTGGGAAGTGTGCCCACATCTTTCCCCACCTCCTTCCACTAAGAAACGGCTGCAGCTCAGGCAACAGTGAGTGGTGGAAAAAATAATTAATTGGACAGATGATACTTAAGCTTTTTAATTAGCTCTTCCCCTAGACTTAGCTGTTAAAAAAAAAATACATCTAGCTTCACAGTTGGGATCTTCCTGTACGTAGTACCCAGAAGGAGTGGATGAAGCTTCTGTGATTTTAGTAGGTTTAAAAAGATGGACTCAAAGCAGTTGTATACATTTTTAGGTGTAAATTTTAGAACTGGAGTTGTGGGATTTTTGATTGAGGTATCTTGGGGTAATTTTCATTCATTTCAGTGTAATGGCCCAGTATGATGTGATCCTTATTGATACTTATCACTGCTTATCCATAGAAGTACAGTGTCCAAAGGGGACGGATGCTCTGCCAGCTCCAGTACCACGGAAGCCACTTGTCCAGTCCTGGCCCCTCCCTACAGCAGGAGGCATTGACCAGTCAGGGGCCTAGGAGGCAAGGACAGTGGGTCCACATAGAAAGCAGATGACAGAAGGGGCAGCTGGGGAGACGGGGTAGTGAGTGTGGCCCCGCGCTGGTCCGAGGCAGGGGCGGGGCGGGGG